AATAAAACTAATCTAAACTAAAATAAAATAAAATAAAACTAAACTAAATTAAAAAACCAAACTCAACTAAACTAAACTAAAAATACATGTTTGATAGCTCTGTAGTCGCCAACGCCTACATGTTTTTGAATTTTGTAACGATGTCTTCCAGGGTCACACAAGTTTCAAGCGAGAACGGGACAACAACAATAAAGATATTAAAAGTTTTGATTGGTTAACATTAAATAACGTTATATTTGTTTTGAAGGTTTAGACTTACCTTTTTAGTCTGCCTTTATTTGTTATTACTCTGTTTAATTTGTGTATATATGTATACAACTTAATCTTTACTTAAATTACTTTGTTTAGATATTTGTACATCTGCCTCCAGTGTTTCCTCCGTTCGTGTTTTAATTGCGTGTTATTGTTCACACACAATAAATGATTGCCTTTAATTGATACAGACAGCTGAAGACAGGAAAGGTGAGCTACCAGGACGTCCCTTGTGTTGTTGTTTTATCTTTATATTGTACCCCTGGTATGAGCAGTTATTGTGTGCACATACTGTCCATGTACATAAATATATAGACACATATTACTCGTCTTCTGTTAATGCAAATCATATTAGTGATGCTGATTAATGAACGTGTGATTCAGAGTAAAAATAACCTGAGGGATCAATGTGTTACAGTATCCTGGAGGATCAATATGCACTGTTACAGTAACAACCAACAGCTCACATTAACATGGTGCTTTTAAGGAACATGAGACGCCTCCACTCAACCAATCGTTCAATTATCACCACCTTCGCCGCACGAGGTGGTGTAAAAAAAGATCCACAAGTAAATATACAATGCAACACATAAAAACGCCTGTAAACACAGACGAATAACTGAGGCGCTTATTAGTCGACGGAGGTGTCAGAGAGGACGATCATTAGCACCTCCTGCGGCTCGTAGGTGGCCTTTGTTTCCAGAGAGGGAAAGACAATAAACAAATACATAAAAGACGATGAGTGCATAGCTGAGAGTGTATTACAGGATTATAATTAAATGACATTATTGTTGGTGCAGCAGACTGGAGCCAGATTCAGCAGGAGGAGGGAAAGTGGGTCCTTCTGTGTGGAGACGGAGACTGACTGTTGACCAGGTGGCCCAGGTGAGGCACTACAGGCCTCCTGTGTCTCTGACTGGCTCTCAGATTTGACCTGATAAAACCAGATTTTCTGAGAGATTTAACTCCAAACTGAAGCTGTTTCATGTCTCATGTTCTCCAGTGAAGGTTGAATCATCTTGAGTGGTTGATAATAATAATAATTTATGCATCTGAACACAGGCAGCCTACAGATGATCTAACATTTCTGTGACTTCCTGCTGGAAACCGTCCGACTGACTGCTGCTTTATGTCACCGCCTCCTGCTGCTGGCGCCGGATCTCGTCCGCTTTCCAGGCTCAGTTCATCTCGAAGGAGCCGACTGACTCATGCAGGGGAGGCAACGTACCGAGCCATCCACCCTCTGAATGCCCGCGGTCCCTCGTTCGCTGTTGTGCAGTTCCATGAGGCTGGAGGAGCGTTTGAGCCTCGTTACCAACCGGCTAGGTGGGTACTAAAGGAAGAATTAGAGCCTCTAGTTTCATATGATGCCAGTTTCTCCTCTGGAGCTTTAAAATGGAGCCTCTGAAAGACCTGGACGTGGCTCTGATTGGAGATGGCATCCACCATCTTAATAATAATAACAATTATAATAATGATAATAACTTTATTTATAAAGGAGCTTAAATACAGTGTGGCATTAACAACAAACACATCAGGCAGAATATCTACACACACACACACACACACACACACACACACACACACACCTCAAAGATAGATAAAGATACTTTCGTTCTCTACTTTAGGAACCAGAATCGGAGGAACCTAAGTTCCTTGTTGGCTGATACGGGGTTAAAAAGTGATGTAAGAAGGTTAAGAGCTTTGGATTCGAGTAAAAGGACCTTAAAATGAATTCTAAGAGAAGAGAGCAGCCATTGTAGCATCAATAAACCATCAATAAACCACATTTTAGGACTCATCCTACCTTTATATAAAAGGCTTAAAGGTGCTCAATGTGTTGGTTTCTGTTCCTGGTTAATCTGTTGAACTCGGGTGTGTCGGTCTTTACCAGATCCAGAACTTCCTTTTGGACACGTCCACACTTCAAAACTCTCTAATTTAATATCTCAAACTGTACCAAGAGTTTTCCTGTCGCAGTGTTTGCTGTAATAAATTATATATACTTAAACTTTCAGTTCACCCAAAACTGCGTCAGTAATATTCGCACATCGGCCGCTAACAGCAGCTGGACTTCAGGCAGTGACGATCATTATTAAATTAACATGAGACACAGAAGAGAAGCAGATTTATACTGAGCAGACAGGAGAGACGACTAATTCTACATTTTGAGTGAAGTATTCCTTATTCTTTACTTTTATCTCTTTTAATCATTTTTAATCAGACAGACTCAACAAACTCTCTGATGTTCGGCTGTTTCAGACAATTTACTTTACATTTAGTTTCCTTTACAAAGATATCAGCCTACTGGGTTTATTGTTAAAGTTTTCCAGCACCTTAAAAACAAGAAGGCCTCGTGAACCTCCCTTTTGGCGACCTCTAGTGCGGGTCCCGACCCCCAGGCTGGGAACCAGCGCTCTACATTTCACACTTTCTATCATTTCTTATTCATGTTAATATTCACTCTTTGTTTATCCCTCAATCTGCTCTGTGCAGGTCGACTCAGTAAGAGTCAGTTAGGAGGAACAGGGAGGATCTGTACGTGGAAAGATTTAGTTTATGGGTCTGTTATATATATGTTTTATCATTTTACAGCATATTAAAATCAATCTGTAATCTTCCACATGGAAACATTATCTGTCTATAAACGTATCCCCACCTCGGAGCTTATACTGTATGTCTGTGCTTGTATTCTCTTAATATTATATTTCTATATCCAATAGATCCTCCTGAATGTGACACACTGGAGCTTTAATGTTGCTAATTAAATCTAGTTTCATTCATCATGTAAAGATACATTAACTAGCAAATAAAGATCCAATGTTTAAAGTAAAGTTTCAGCCACTTGCAGGTGTTGTGAGAGTCCGGTATGAACAGGTATTTTTCTCTGCAGCAGCAGAGTAACACGTTCCCGACACATTAGCGTCTCCTCTGGCAGATGGCTGAGGGCTGCTGGGAACACTGGAGCGAGCTCTCGGCTCCGGCGCCGTGCTGGAGAGCGCTCGCCGTCGGCTTCTTCACGCGTCCTCCAGCAATATGCTGCTCGCCTGGTGGTGGTGGAGGGCGAAGCTCGGCTGGTCCCGGATCAGCTTTCAGCCAGCGCAGTGGACACGCTGCAGAGTGAGGTTAAGATACACTTCCTGTTACAGGTTTTAAGTGTCCTCCCACTTTATGTTTTAAACATTAACTGTGAATTCTGGGATTTGGGGACACTGTTAGCTCCTTCTACTAACTGCTTCCTCTGCTAGTGTTTATTTATTCTGATCACCTCTCCTCCTCTTAACCAGATGACTGCTGTAACTCTGGAGACTCTGGGGAGAAATGCAGCCGTCTCTGAGGATAAAAACCTCCAAAACAGCCCCTCAAACGCCCATTTTCACATCTGTCCAGGTGAATCTGCCCTCTTTTTTTGACTGTGTGTGCGTGTGTGTGTGTGTGTGTGTGTGGGGGGTGGTATGAAGTTTGTGTCTCAGCTTTCCAGTTATTCCAAATTTATGCAATTCAAAAACAGTTTATGGACCCCAGCATGCAGAAATATTCAAATACACTAAAGTAACACATTTATTCCACAAGTAAAAAAACTGTATTATATTAGCATAAAGGGTCAGTAAACTGGAGACTCGTGGGTTCCCATTTTCATTCAGATATCCTGAGGTCAGAGGTCAACGAATCCCTATGAAAATGACCACATCAGCTCTTCTATCGCTAAAATTCAGCCAAACTTTGGAGCGTTCTTTAGCCTCCTTCCCAACATGTTATATTTACAAATATATCAGAAAAAGCCTCCAATGAACCAGAAGTATACAGAGATAATCACAAATAAACACACATATTGGTCACTGCCATCAATATATATATAAATATATATAAATGATTCTTCTATGAGCTCTCTGATCGGTCGGACGTTGGAGGAAAAATAAACCATCTGGGAGCAGAAAGGCCATCGGATTCATATCGCAC